ATGACTTCAGTTATTACCGAAATTACTAGGTATGACCACGTGGTCACTGTAGTCACAGTCCTTTCGCTAGCAGGGCAACGGAGCTCAAAATAGCAAGGGAAAATGCGGAATGTTCCGCCGTATTAAATTTAGTGTGATGTTTCGCACGCCACAGGCAAGGATGTTGGCATTTCCCGTTTGCCGCAACTACACCAATATGAACCTGCTAAACTGGTTGAAAGCGGGTTATGGGCTCTGCTCTGCATGCAAAAGATTAGCATTGGCGTTAAGATACATTATAGAGCCCACTACGTCCACTTAAATCCTGGTTAGTATACCACAGGCACGAAATAATAGTTGTACCCAGCTGCCCAGGCCCTCAGCCACCATAAATCCTGTGACTACTGACCAAATTACCGTCACAACAGTCAGTTGGTCATTCCCACGGTATTAACGTAGTATTAACGTAGTCACTGACAACCCTGACAATACCTGGCTAACTGTACCTGCTGGTACGGCGAGAGATCAATGACGGACATTTTGCTGCTCCAGGCTGGGGTGCCAACGACAGCGTCTTAAGCAGGACAAGAACAAGGGGTCCATATTTATAGCCTCGTGAACCACGACCCGATCAAAGCTGATGGTATTCCGATGAGTCGAAAGACGAAAGTCAACTACCTGATGCCTGCGGCGGATCTGCAGCCCGCGTAAGTAAGTGCAAGAGACCACCGGGTTGACCTGCGGTTTGAGTATCACCATCGAGAGTGTTCCCGCGCCGGCCAATTATTGACACTCTCCCATCCATCTGATGGGAGAGCAGATATTTTGATACAGGTGCGCATATAGTCCGTGCATTCCTCCACTTTGACAGCAAGAGAGTTCCGTATCGCCAGAACAGAAGGAGTTGTGCCGATCCTTCGGGGACGAACAAGGCGAGGAGACAGTAGACATCTTTCACGCGTAGGAAGGGGGCACAGCAAAGCAAGGCATGCATAACCTTGGCAACAAGGCAGTAAATTACGACGGGAGTACCAGTAGCGCACGGACCTCGATCTAAAGCGACGATGCTCATCGTTTGCTGTCCCTCTCATCAAAGCCGAAGAGCTGTGCCGCCACCCTGTCGCCCAGAGCTTTATCCTCTGGAGGCTCCATCGGCAAAGGTTCCTCCACCTTCTTATCCTCCACCTTCTCCTTCCCCTTCGCCTCCGCCTTCGCGTCCCTCTTCACATCCATCTTCTTCGTGTCCTTCTCGTCCTTCTTCTTCACGTCCTGCGCCGCCTGCTCCGATACCTCGCCGAACATACTCGCGGCTGCTTTAGTGGCAGCCTCCAGCCTCTTCCTCTCATTCTCCATCTGCTCCTCCTTCCTCACCCGCTCCTCTTCCTCTCTTATCTTCTCCTCCTCTGCCTTCAACGCAGCATGTTGCCGCCATTTCTCGCGGATCGTCTCGTTTCTCGCAAGGAGATCCGCGCGTTTCTGACGCTCGGCCGCTTGTTTGGCTAGCAGGCGGTTTTGGAGCTCCAAGGCGGAGACGTAGGCCCGCCGACGCTCGTTCAGCACGTACTTTATGCGGGCCATGGATTTTCTCACAGCGATCAGCTTTTGCGGGAAAGCGAGGTTCATGGCATGCCCCGCCCCGATTCGCCGCGCTTCCTCCTTTTGCGTAGCGAGGAGATTACGTTCCCGGAGAAGCACGTACCACAGCGTGTGTAAGTCTCTGAAGCTCTTCCGGCGCAATTCAGCAGCCGTCCAAGAGCGCCCTGCACAAAGCAAACGTGGTACGCATTGTTAGCACTAGTACTATAGTAGTATAAGGTAGCATTCATCATACCACTGGGGTCTGCGCTCATGTCAGCTGCCTCGATGCTCTCGTACTGCACTTGTCCATCCTTGTCGACCTTCTTCCTGAAGAAGGCGTACAGCCCGTGGTTCGGGTCGACCTCGACGCCAAGATGGGGGCGGAGAGGTCCGCCCTCAACTAGGTGTGCCTGCGGAGATGTATTCCCTTCGACAAGTGCCCCTGCGCGCTTGAGCTTTCTCCCATTCCTGGTCGACCGGACGAGGGAGCGGTTGGCAGTGTCTGAGGAAGTTGTAGGGCCTGGAGGTGGTAGCGGGGCAGACTGGGTGGTGACGGTCTCAACGACGGAGGCGAAGTACCGAGAAGAGGGGGTAATGAGAGGCCCAGACGAAGGGAAGCAGCCTCGGGCTGCCCTGTAGACGGAGAGCATGGCAGCGCACGCAGCTGCACCGTCAATGAAACAGCAATTTAGGTCACAGACGTAAATGGAAACCCTAACCTCGTCATGTTCACCACGGACGCTGATTGTCAGAATCAACGAATCGTACAGACATGCTCAGGCTACGGCATCCTACTCGGGCCAACATATCCGTGATGTCCTCCGTTTCTCTTGCTATAAAATGGTTATCTGTTTGATGCTGTAAGGTTAGATTTTTACGACTGTGTTTCAGCGGCACGATCCTCGGCTCGAAGAGCTGAGAGTCTGAGACTCATGTAGCCGTGCAGAGTCGCGTGTGTAACAGTCCATCATCCCCTTCGCAGAAACCGCTCGACTTCAGGAAGATTCCCTTCTCGTAAGGGTGATCACCACATTGTGCAATACACCGGGGTCTTCCCGCTTTTCAACCGTTCATATTTCAGACCCGGCCCGCGTATTGTCAATGAGCAGTCATCTGATCCCCTTCGTACATCGTGTCCAATTATATTCGCATAAAGGTTAATGGGTCGCACAGTGCTCGGACTCCCTCTCTCGTGAGTCGTCTTCACACAATGGCGCACCTCGTCAGATTCTTGTTGATGGTGTTATGCCATTTGGTTGTCGGCATAGCAGCAGGGAAAGTCCCGTTCAACTGGAATGAGATTAAATACGTCTACGTTTTTGGTGATTCATACTCGTACGTCCAGGGTACACTAGGTCTCGCAAACTTTAGGTATGTTGTTGAATTCATCCCACATCGAGCAGGTACTTAGCTAAAGCAGCTTTATCGGCGACGCATTCAATCTGTCGTATACGCGGTCTCAACTTCTCTCAGATGAACTGATATACCGATACGTGCGGGGCTCTCTAGATTCTACATTCAATTCACCGAGTTTTGACTTTTCAGACTGCGTCTAATGGAGCGAACTGGGTACCATTTATGCCATCATTTACACCACAATCACGCATTGAATTACCCCTAGCCTGAATTCCTCACAGGCTGCTTTTCCGGCCTTCCCTCCAGCTGTCCCCGTCAACTATGGGACTTCGCATTTGCAGGGGCAGACATCGACCCAAATCTGTACGTCCCCTCTCGAATATACAGTAAATCCAAAATGTGATTACCTGCATCTTTAGATTGCCTCCGCACCACAACTTCTCCGTCCAACTTACCACTCAGGTTGCCCAATATGTAACCTATGCCGCTGATGTCCTGCCGCACCCGCCGAACGAGACCATGACAGCATGGTGGATAGGGATCAATGATACTGGCGACACACTGAACAACGCTACCGTGAGACTAATCTGTCCATTCTAGCCCCCCCTGACACATTAGCACCACAGATAACAGACTTCAATGCCTTCTGGGAAGAAGAGATGTCCTCCTATTTCAGAGCGGTGGTAAGCACCCCACCGTCCCTCGCTGTCCTTGCCCCTCATAACGCGACCTCAGCAACAAGCGCATGCCGTCCTCTCCTCCACGCATGTCTTCTTCACCGTGCCTCCAACCGACCGCTCCCCTTCACATCTGCCAGTCTCCTCTAATTCATCGCAGACCCTCAAGCAGCATATCCTCGCCTATAACATCGTCCTGCGACAGCACGCGCAGTCCTTCGCCGAGGCGAACCCAGGCTCGACCATCCTTATATTCGACGCGCACCAGGTGTTCACTAACATCCTCGACAACTACTCCGCGTACGGGTTCACAAACATCACTGGGTATTGCCAATGCGACGACGACAGTTATTTCTGGTACAGTGCGTACCTGCAGTCAGTGCGAGGCGAATCAGTACTCACCGGGACTGGTCACAGATACTGGCCACCCTACGGAGCGGGTGCACGAGCTCCTAGCCTTGGCTCTCGAAGCGCAGCTACTAGAATCATCTACGGAGATGATATAAATATATTTAAGGAGACAGCCCTATGCGTAAGAGGTCATCGGTGTGGATAGTCACAGGCAGTACTCCACCATCCTCCATCCTCCATCCACCAAGGATATATGTCATGATTCCACACACCGAAAGCAAGCCGAGAAAGAGCACCACGCAAAAAGCAGAGAATATAATATCGGAGCAAGGACACAAAGTTACCCATCTATGGGATGTAGACGCGTGTGGCGGATGGCAGGAAGTGTTACATATATACAGAAAGGTAACGGTGAAAAGACCGCATAAACAACGCACGGCGCCCGCAAGAACGAGGAAGACTGCTGAAATGTATAGTGATATAATTACGCAACCAACTATGCAACTACGGAAAGAAGAATAGAGGAGACTAGCACGGCACGAGGATATATGTCCGCGAAGTCATGGGATACGATAAGGACCTCAGAAGAATAGATAGGTGGTGATGAAGACACCGAGCGCGATGATGATGACCACTTGTAATGGCACACCTTCTGGGGGAGGCACGTTCTCGTCCACCAATGTACCGATCTCTGTCTCGGGACCCAGTGACCCAGCCATGGTGCTCGTCGCATCCGATAACGCCCGACCGCGCTTCCGCAGTTCTGTAGGAGCTACCGAGTCACCATTGCTGGTGGTGGTGGGGAGCGAACTAGGTTCAGGCATAGCAGCCAGCAGTGCACGTAGCCGATTAATCTCGGCTTGTGCTTCGTTATACTTGGCAAGGAGCTCTGCATTCGGATCGGGCGTGGAGACAATGACGGGCTGCGTTTGCACGGGTGAGGGAGGTACGGGGGAAGGTTCCCGCGGTGCTGGTGCAGAAGGTTCGGACTGGTAGAGATCATCGTCTGGATGGGGCTCTGGTGCTGGGGGTGCAGGGGGCTGCTCAACAGGAGCTTCAGTGTATTCAACAATCGGCTCTACCGCATGGCCATTCGTCGCAGGGTGCTGACGCACGGTTTCGTATCGCTAAGGGGCCATGAGCGCTGGATAGTTTGGGAAGGAACGAGCAATTACCGTGTCCGGCACACTCATCATCGAGCTCATGCCCGCGTGGCCCTCGTCCTCCTCCTCAACCACTTGACCTTCTGGCGGCAAGTAGACGACTCGAATCTTGTGCTGATGGATTTTGTTTTGCTCGCTGTCGCTTGTAGAGTTCCACTAGGTGAGGTATATATATGCGAGCTGTTGCAACGGAGAAAATGGGAGGGACGTACAATGTCTTGGAGAGCCATAGTCTCCTTGTCCGGGGTAATGATGGTACTTTGGATCAAGAACTTGTCCTTGCATTTCGCAGACAGGGGCGGCTCCTCCTTCATTGCCTGAAGCATTACTGTTACGACGGCATACAGTCAGTAAGTACACCCCAGCTACACAGGGCAATCATACCTGAAACGTCAACACTCTCGCCAGGCTCTATTCTTCCCGAGTTCGGCCGCACACAGTACAACTAAAGCAAGCCCCAAGTTCATTACTAATAGCCATATCAGTTGGATCCAAAGCTACCTTCGGGGCGGTCGTCTTGACCTTGAATGCGACAGGTTGGGCATTGTGATTCGATATACTCAGTGTTTGCTTTCGCGGTTCCGTCAAAGGTCCTATTGCTAGTGAGCCACGTCACTATGCTCTTAGCAAATCTTACGCACTATTGAACCCTAGAGTGTTGCTGGGACTGAGCGAGACCGACATACTGCGAGACAGGGAGAGCGGACGCGACGATGTGGTAGTTCGTTGGCTACACGCGCGGCGCTTTTCAGGCGGAGTCCATTGCGTCAGCCGCGTGCCAGGCGGTGAGATTCGCAGGCGCTGCGCATGCGAGGCGAGCTACAACCTAAACGCGTCTGTATTCGCCTCGGTCCACCACCTCAAGGCCTCATGTTCCATGCATGCATCAATAGCAAAATTACGACGACGACAGTCTGAAAATAACAGTATTCCCTAATGCGAAGTAGCGAAAACGAAAGCGTTGTACCAGTAGATATTAATATAAAGAAAAGCGGCGTGGTATGAGTCGTGATACAGTGGTAGCGAGATCGTGATCTAGGAGTCCCATGGCCAAAGTCTGTCTGTTGTAGATCCTCACTTCTTGCTCAGTGCTTGTAATTGTACGTATTCGTAGTAGTCACCCTTCATTGATAGCAGTTCGTCGTGGGTACCGGCTTCCGCTACCCGTCCGTCTTTGATGAAGTATCTATGTTGAACTTGTCAGACACATGAACCGCATTCCAAGAAAGCATCCACTTACATGCAGTCAGCGTTCTGGATGGTTGAAAGTCGGTGAGCGATAGCAATCGTTGTCCGACCCTTCGCTGCCTGATCGAGAGCCTGTTGTACAACCTTCTCCGAATTGGAATCCAGAGCGGAAGTAGCCTCATCCAAAAGAAGGACTTTCGGATTCCGAAGCAAGGCCCGGGCAATAGCGATACGTTCTGTATCGGACGAGGGTCAGAGCGAACTTTGGATGAAGCGATCGATCAAAGCACTCACGCTTCTGGCCCCCAGATAGCTGAGAGCCTTTGCCGCCGACTTCCGTATCGAAGCCACTAGAGGTTGACGTAAGTAAGCTGAACAGCCAGGCGAATCACGGGCAGCACTTACTTGGGTAGAGACTGGATGAATTCCAGGATATTCGCTGAGCGGCAAGCGTTCTCGATTTCCTCTTGCGTGACTTCCGACTCCGGCTTGGTAGCACCGAGAAGGATATTGAAACGAACAGTGCCCGCATATAGAGTCTGTAATGCCGTTGGTCCTTGTATAGCTGGCTGAAAAAAAGTGAAGACATACTGGCTCCTGAGACACCAAGGCAATGTGCTTCCGGTACTCCTGCACGTTCAGATCGGCGATATTGTGGCCATCAAGCTGCGAGTATAATAGATTGATGCATGTTAAATGTAGCATGACGGGGTCTGCACTTACCAAGACTTTGCCAGCTAACGGGTCGTAGAAGCGCTCAATAAGTTGGATACTAATCACACGCAGATGTATCAGCCAATTTTGATCTGTAGATTAATGAGGACCAGCTTACGTGGTACTCTTTCCGGAGCCGCTAGCGCCGACCAGTGCAACATACGAGCCTGGCTGGATGGTGAGGTTGAGATCGCGAAGGACACGGACACCAGGCCGGGTTGGATAACGGAAGTGAATGCCCTTGAACTCAATGCGACCTTCAACGTGGTCGAGGATGTCCCCTTCCTTGGATTCCGCGTCTATTTCGGGCGTAGAATCCAGCAGTCGGATGATATCGGATCCCGCGCCCTTCGCTGAGGAGATATCCGGCACGAAGGAGAACACGTTCCCGGCTTGGATGGCACCGAATGTTGTACTCTGTGGTCTGCGTTAGCTCGAAATTCATGATAGATCATAACCATGCTTACCATGAGACAGACAAAGAATTTGAAGACCGAGTATTCTTGACTAGCCACCAACCGCGACCCGTACCAGAAAACGAGGGAAATGACGAAGAAAACTATAGCCTGAGAGAGGGAGTACAGCGCATTGCTGTAGATAGCAGTGCGGTTTGACTTGCGCAAGGGCTCTTCCAGACTCTCGCTGTACAGACGCAGGCAGTCCTCCTCACGGGTGAGAGAGGCCACAGTCCGAATGGCGCCAGCCGCCTCGCAAGCAAGTTGCGCGGAACCTTCGTGTGCCTTCTTGTTCTTCTGGTCCTTCAAGACGACGACGCGCTACACAATTACTCAGCTTCTGCAACAAGAGACGTCGCATAGTAAATTCTCACCAGACGAATGTAACCCGTAGAAACCAAAGCCGGAGTGCAGGCTAATAGGAGGTCTGTTACTGTTCTTTGGCAACCAGATCTGCCTAGGGACTCACCGATGCCAACAAGAGCCAATTTCCACCCGAAGACGAGACCGAGGATCATACCCGAAACCAATGTAGAAATACTCTGGACAATACTAGGGCACACGACAGTCAGACCTGGATTTAGCGCCGGACTGCACTCGACTCACGCCCCGAGAGTAATACCAGCCAGACCATTGACCTTCTGAGGGTTATCACTTAGCCCTGATGTGAGACTACCGGTCTATTCGTTTGAACGTATCAGTATAACGACCCCATCTAGCCATAGAGCTACTCACACTATTCTCATCCTTATCGAAGAAAGCAACTATCACACGAGCATTAGTATCGTGCATAATCAGAATGAACAATACCTCTACTTACTATCCTGTCGCAGAACTGCCTTAAACCCAAGGCTGCGAAGTCTAGCAGTAAGGGTAGCAGCGGACGAGGCGAAGAGGTAATTCTGCATGCCAATGCTTAACGTAGAGCCCAAAGCAATGATGAAGAAGCTGCGCGAAAGCGTTAAGAGCCGAGCATGCGTATAGTGGGTTTCATCACTCACTATAAAGCGGAATGGTCACCCTGTACGCGTCGCGCATGGGGGTCCTGCATAGAGAATCCGTTGATACCCTTGGCTACGGCACAACGTCAGAAATACGAGTGAAAGCATGTCTAAAAGACACACGCACCAAAGACAACACCGAACGCGGGATAGACACCGCCGGACAAGATAGCGAAGATGGAACCGACGGCATACCGCCACCAACCCTCCCGGTTGATGATACCCATGCGCCGGAAAAGGTACACGAGCGAGTAGTCCTCCTCGCCTGTCTGCCTTTTGTCCCGGCTCTTCTCCGCCTGCGCCTGCTTCTGCTTGATGATCTCGCTAGCCAGACTGTGGTTCGTGTTGCTCCTTCCAAGGGGGACTTCGGCGGCGGCTTGTTTCTCCATATCCTCGTGATGGTGCTCTTGCTGAGTGCCAACGTCCGTAGAGTCAGTGTCGCTCTCAACGTCACCCTTCGCATCTTCTTCCTTGCGCTCCCGAAGCCTCTGAGCCGCCACGAGTTTCGAGTAGGGCCCGTTCTCATCGCGCAGGAGCTCCTCGTGTGTGCCCTGCTCAAGCACGAGACCCTCGCCCATGACAAAGATGCGGTCAGCATTCTTGATGGTAGACAGCCGGTGAGCGATGGTGATAGTCGTCCTGCCCTGGGCGGCCTTGTCCAAAGCGTCCTGCACAATACCCTCACTCTGGGTGTCCAGCGCGGAGGTAGCCTCGTCCAGCAACAGAATCTTGGGGTCACTGACGATAGCACGGGCAATGGCGATACGCTGCTTCTGTCCACCACTCATCAAGAAACCGCGCTCACCGACCATGGTGTCGTAACCCATCGGCATCTTGGTGATGAAGCCGTGAGCATTGGCCTTAATACACGCCTCAGTAATCAGCTTCATCTTCTCCTCCTCCGAAGCGTGCTCAAAAGGAGTATTGATGAGGCCGTGCGCGACGTTGCCTTTGATAGTGGTGGCAAACAGCGTCGGCTCCTGACTGACAAGACCGATCTGGCTTCGCAACCACTTCAGGTTGAGCTCCCGAAGGTCAGTGCCATCTAATCTGACAACACCTTCAATAGGGTCGTAGAACCGCTCGATCATGCTGACGATCGTGGACTTGCCAGAACCGGATGCGCCTACAAGCGCACAGGTCTTCCCAGCAGGGAACTCGATCGTGAGGTCCTTGACAATGGGCACATTAGGTCGAGAGGGGTAGTTGAATTTGACGTGCTCGAAGCTGATGTGGCCTGTCACATTCTCGGGCTTCAGACCAGCAGGGCTAGCAGAATCGATAGAAGGGACACGATCAATAGTAGCATAGAGCTTGGCCGCGGCACCGCGTCCGTGTGTGATCGCCTGCATCTCGGGGGCAAGAAGAGCCAAGGAGAATGAACCGATTAGGATAGCGAGGATAACGTTGACAACAGTCCCGGGTTGAGCATGTCCTTCGTTGATGAGGGTAGTACCAAAGTTGAAAGCTAACGAGGGAATCATCAGCGTCCCGTACTGGCGATATTGAAGCATGAGCCGAACTCACCCAGTGCATACGCAGAATAAATTACAAAGAAAAACACAGCAAGACCGCACCCATGCCACTGCGCAGCTTTCAAGTCAACTTTTCGAGAGTCCAGAATGTACTTGTCGTACAGGTCCGCAAGGATTCTCTGCGTGCCGAAGGCTTGTGCAGTGCGGACAGTTGAAATGACCTCTTCAGCGAGAGTGCCGCCCTCAGCGACGTACTTGAGGGAGAGCCTACAAAGTCCTGATCAGATGGTGTTTCGACGGAGAGCATAGAACCGACATACTGCATGTAGGTGGAGATGAACTTGTTCATAACACCCCCGGTCACAGCAATACAAGGCAAGATGGAGGACAAAGCAAGGGCCAGACGCCATGATCGGATATACGCAAGCACGAAACCAGTGACGAATGCAGCGAAGAAGTTCACTACGAGAGCAACCTTCTCTGAGATGCCTTGTTGGACCAAGTCTAGATGACCAAGGGTCAGCTCAAAAGAAAAATCACTTGAGACTAGTCGACTCACGCGTGTCAGTCTGGATGCGAGTAGCGACCTCTCCAGCGCCGACATTATCGAAATACGCAATATCCTGTCTCAAAACCGCTTGCAAGTATCTTTCGCGAACGCGCTTGGCGTTGACCTCGCCGGTCCATACCCATATCAGCATGTAAAGGTAGGTGCAAACAAACATGCCGACGCCGATAAGCGTGAGGTAGAGCGCATTTTGAGCAGCAGAATGCCTAAAATTCGAAGCGGCAGCGGGCAGAGCTGCCTGGGCAGCTGGATCACCTGCCGCTGCAGCTTCAGAAGTTATTCCGAAAGCAACAAAATCTTGCGTCAAACGCCCGAAGAGCAAACTCATGAGGGGTTGCGCAGCGCCGGCCGCGGCGGCTGCGATTAAACCAATGAAGTCGAGGAAAAGCTCAAGTCTCGTCGAGAACCTGTCTGGGGGTTACAAAGACTGACACTCGGTGAAGTATCTGTAGATACTCGCCTGAAAAGCGACGCGAATCCGACAGGACGGATTTCCTCCACCCTTGGCCGCCCATCGTCGAGAATGACGGTGCCCTCGCTTGTCTGCTTCTCATTGACCTGCCCCTGCACCTTCTCGCTGGTCTTCTGCTCCTCCTTGTTCTTCCTTGAGAATAAGCCGTCCTTGGCCTTTTTCTGCTGCGACTTCAGGTTGACGCTCTCAGCAGAGGTAGACATTGCTGGCAGCTGTAGTTGGGATGCCCAGCGAGTCTAGTGTGGTTGCTGCCGCCTCAGCAGATGTCGAGCGGGAAATAAGTATAAAGGAAGGGAGCGAAAGATGGAGTGCAGTAAAGGCCTGAGACACTGAACGAGGTATATGAGGACGGGCCCCGGCCTCCCAATCCGCGGAGCTTGTAATCCCAATTACGCAATCCCATACAAGCCGTCTTTCCGACGCGTCGCCCTTGGCAGATCGCGGTAGATCGCGGTGCCTTCACTACTTACGAGTAGCCCAACTCAATATCGTTTCTCGTTTTCATTTTCTCGGGCGCACTGGCACCCCTCCTGCCGACGCGGCGACACGGAGAAACCCGAAGTTATTGAGCGTGCATTTTCTGGCGGATTTCTCGTCGCATGCTAGACACCACAGCTGTCAGATAGCTCGTGCTCATCCCACGTGCTGAATTCTATGGCGGATTGGGACGGTATGTGGCAGTATCAGCAGGGTCACTATACTGGCCCTGCCCTAGCTCAGTAGTTGCAAGGGTGCCAGAACACAACTTAGTCCAACAGCGCGTCACAACAAGCCAAAATATATCGTATTAGGCAAGACATAAGCAACCGAGAGTCTGGTACATCAGTACAGCGCATGGCAATTGAAAGTCCGCCCCAGAGAAACGAGAGAAACAGCTCGAGGAGCTGTTTCTCGTTTTCTCGTTCGTGCTGAGATCCCAAGTCCGATCGCCGTTCGGCAGGGACCCCGAAAGGCTTCAGCGCACTGAGAAAATGAGCG